AAAAAAATAAAACATGCAGGGCTGCGGCCCTCGAAGACCGGGATTGCCCCCCCCGGTTTAAGGTCACACATTTTCACAGCTTTAACTTCCCACGGCTTTGCTAAACATCGCTTGGAGCGACAGTTTGGTTATTTATCACTGAGTTCTGTAGATGTTTTCTTTTACGCATCACCCGCTTTTCATATAGTCAAATAGGAACAAGTATACGGTTTTAAATGACCACATCTGAGTTGCACCTCTGCTTCAAATTATAGGCTCGTCCCGTCTGAATGACTTGGTAACATCGAGCCGATGTGAGCCCAGTTTGTGCCGCGATGCAGGACAAACGGCCTCAGGAGCGTCCGTTTTCGCTGGAGTCGGACGGGTTCTGAGCGCAGCGTCGGCAGCAGAGAGGCAAACCAAAAACATCTGCTCGGTGCGCACCGCGTCATGGAAAGGCATTCGCACACTCTTGAGAATGTCTGCGCGGCGTCTGTAACGTCTCAGTCGCTGCAGAGGGCCGGCGTTAAAGGGAGGCAGCTCCTGACGAAATATAAACATTAAATTCCAGCGTCCCTCGGTGTGACGTTTAAAGGTTTGTTTGTCCTAAACTAAACAACAGATTGAAAATCATGCAGAATATTAATCAGGCTTTAAAACCTGTGGCAAGAATTACAACCAGTAGTGCTATTTTTAATGAAACGAGTCATTAAAAATGAGGCTACCTGCTAAAATAACCCACTTCTGACAAATAAATGACATGGTACAGAAGGAGCTGTAGTAAAGCTTTGAAACACCATGTTTATTTGTGTCACAGTGAGAATAAGATGCCGGTTACTGAATGGTTTTGTCCTCAAATATGAAGCTGGCTGGAGGTTCGAAGCGCAACCAGCAGAAAGGCTGCGGGTGGCCGGGGCTCGTGTTTGTGTAATCTAAACGTGCCGCGGCGCATCCAAACAGCAAACATTGTAAACGTTGATTCATAGGTTCCTGGCTCCAGCAGCAGACGGGCCGGCGTTATCTCGGGGAGGTGTTATTACACGGTCAAACCTAAAAGTTTAACAAGTTTGTTTAGTTTTGCAAGAAAGACAAGGTGAACAAACAAAGGCAGAAAGGAGAGAGGAGGAAAACATCACTAATGTAGTTTAATCCTTGACTAAATCATTAAGTTTGCCCACTTTTAGTGTGAAAATCCAGATTTGCTCACTTTGATGAAATCTCTCAACAGGTGCTATTAACATACAAACTGATCTTTATTTCTCCTTTCATAGTGAAGAAATTTAGTTATTTATAGACTAGTACTGATATTAGAAACAACACGAGTGTTAAGGGTTTTCTTTTTATAACACTTTTATAATGTTTGATCTATTATGTGTTAATTGGAATAGAGTAGATACATGTCCGAATCATAACAACACATAAGTGAACCGTTTTTAAACCATTAGAGTGAGGTCTTTGTCTGAATGCCTGTGATTCAACCGTAGGTCAGTAGGGGGCGAACTCAGGCATTGAAGAACCGTGTATAAAAATATGTACTTCCTGTTTTTCATCCAGTGTGGTTTGGCTTGTCAGCCGGTGACAAATAAACCTCACTCAGCTCTCCAGAATTCTGGGTTGTATGACATTTATTTCCTATCAMAGATCATCTTATTTAACACTTGTGTTTTCATCTGATTTCAGCCGATATTAAACACATATTTCTTACAGTTTGGTGACCCCGACGTGATTTGAACACGCAACCTTCTGATTTAATGACTGMTCGGTGCATCAAATATTATCATAGAAAATAACAGATTTCTTAAATCTGGTCATTTTAACAGAATGTATTCATCTTTTACCAACAGATGTAAATATCTCTTTGGAACTCTTGGTTTACACACAATATTTTAGACAGAAAATGTAGATATTTAAAAGGAAATCCTAAAGTACCAAGTTTCAGACCATGTTCTACTTATATAACTGTACATTAAGACACATTTTCKACACAACCTGATGGTTTCTGCTCAGCGCTGAAGGTTGGAGGGCACACTGACAGGTTTGKTGCAAGAAAAAGCTTCTCACTCCACCAAAAGCAAAACAAACCGTCTGTCTGGGGCCCTGTGGAGGCTTTCAGACGTGTGGTTTCCTGTTTAGAAAAAAAAAATTATAGAGGCACAAGAAGGCTTGGTGGTGCAGTCGGCTACTTTTCTATCTATCATCCTGACTTTATCTGCACCGACCTCTGAAAACCTTTTATTCACTTTTAAATAGAAATGTAGCGCTCGCTGTTAGCAGGTCCTCAATGTGTTTAAGTGTTTCTCACTTATTAAACTAGTAGTGAGTTAATAGGTTCTGTTTTATGTTGGCAGCTGCTATAAACACAGTTATAAACTTTTTGCTAAAACAAGCGCAGCTTTTAAGTATAAAGCCATAAAAAAACAAGCAACTCTATTCAGAGACAGGTTGGTTGTTGTTGACCTTATCGTAGATGCACAAACCTGTACAAAMTACAAAATGTTTTGTGTTTGCAGACTCGTGTCTGGTTTACTTGACTCTATAATTTCATCATTTATACAAACTGGAACAGTTATAAAGGTTTATCACGGAGTCTCTACCAGGCTAAATGTACAGGACTCACGAGTAATGAAAGGTTTCAGTTTAGCAAAATATACACGAGTAAAAAAGCTTGTTTCTTKAAAACAAGACAGTTTCATGCCTCTCATACATGTGATTAGAGCAGTAACTTTTTTAATTTCTCCATAAAAACAAAATAAAACACACACTTTGGGTTTTTATTTGAGGAGGCMAATAAAATAGCTTCTTGTGTTTCTTTGTTGCTGTCGCCATCTTCACTCTTGTTTTGATCATTTGACCTTCAGTTTCTCAGACATGGATTCTGTCAAACAGTAAGAGGAAGACCCAGCTTTTATAAATGTCTTATGAAGAAATGTAGAATATCTTTTCTACATTACAACCGCTGGCAAAAAAGTATGGAATCACCAGTCTTGGATGAGCACTCATTCAGACGTTTCATTCTGTAAAACAAACTCAGATCAAAAACATGATACAATAATAAGGTCATTCCAAAGTGCAACTTGTTGGCTTTCAGGAACACTCAAAGAAATGAAGAGAAAACATTGTGGAAGTCAGTGAATGTTACTTTTATTGACCAAGCATGGGAAAAAATATGGAATCACTCAATTCTGAAGAAAATATGGAATCACTCAATTCTGAAGAAAATATGGAATCACTCAATTCTGAAGAAAATATGGAATCACTCAAT